AAATGTTCAGTATACATTTCTCCAGTGTACGGACACGTCTGTTGCGGCATCTTACCCAGAAGTCCATTAGTTGACTTGTATATCTGACATACCATTGCAAAGTCGATATCATCGTCGTCAGATGCAATAAATGATGATCTCACGTGCCTTACATTACTGTTGTTGTAACACTCCGAAATAACTAACAGTAAAACCATCTCATGATAATAATGAAATAAAGATGCAATACATAATATAATGCCCCATCTCATATGGCCTCGAATGTAAAAAAGATAACATATGTGGTTATACATTCACGAATCCTAACCCTGAATCTATAGAATGTGTTATAGACAAAAGATATGAAATCTAAGCTAAACAGGTAATTAAATGCGTTAAAGGCTACAACCTTCCAAGACGATGCTTAGTTACAACAAAAGTGAGTCCAAGCTCAATACAGTTAAAGCCCTAAGCTTATACAGAAAGAAATACAACGAATGAATAAAAAGAAGCCTTCAACTTCAAGTTCCTCCCAAGCTACGTTCTTAGTGGACCTGAAAATAGTTTTCTTACATAGGGTGAGCCAAAGCTCAATAGAATACTCTTAACACAGTTTATGAATCATAACAAAGATATAAGGTGAATGCGTATGCAATGCTCGTGCCGAAAACATTTTATATCTTCTTTCAAGATCATGCAATGCCAAGTCTATATCACAATTCAAGAAGTCATTTCCTTTATAATAGAAAGCAGGACTGTGAATTCAACTTTGGAAATCCGTAGGTGTCTGCAAGCAGGCTATATAAGCACTACCAATTGTCATTTTTACCGATATTAACCGGAAGGCTCGACACCTAACTGCGCGAGTTTCTGGACTTTCACCAAGGACAAACAGGCCAACATAATACCATAACCACACCCCTTACCCAGATTCACCAAGGTATTCATCCATTTTTCTCAAAACAATAGACATTTTCATTGTGTTAAATGTGCAACAATGCCCAATGCAATAGATGAGAAAATTGTTCCAATTCTCCTAGTTCTTATGCAATTTCTATAATAATTATAGTCATCCTCCACCGATAGCTCAAAACAGATATCTTTGAACAGATAAATAAATTTCTATGAAGATAAACTTTCTGAAAATCTCAAGATGGAAATATAATAATACATATCCAACTCCATCATCCTCATCAACATCAATCCAATTCCACATTTCCAACATCAATTCCATTTGTCATTACAAAATCAACATTTGATAATCTTAGGACAAAATCCCCTTTCCTTTATAAATCAATTTCAAAGATAAAAATCCATCATTTCATCATAACTCAACAATAAATACATTTCCTCAACCATTTCCAACAATTCATTTCAAAACCCCCTTTTTTTTTTATTTCAACGCAAAACCCTAGGTTGTTCAAAAATCCCAAAATCATAATGTTGTTTCAAAAACACAAATAACTAAGTTAAAAATCATAAGAATGTGCAAAGATATCCCTACCTTGAAGCTAGAAGGCAAGAGAGAGAGTGATGGAACCTCAACAACGTCGAAACCCAACTTTGTTCAGATCAAAAGAAAGCTCTCGGAGTGCACTACCTTTTTGTCAAAGAGACTAGAGTGAAGAAATCAACGGATTTAGGTGTTTTTGAAGAGAGAATGTGGGTTATAGAGAGAGAGGGCCTCAACTTAGGGTTTTGAAATGTTTAGAGAGAGAGAGAGGGATGAAAAAGTGAGCCAAAAATGTGACTTTATAAACTGATATACGCGCAAACCACTCGAGCGCAAGAAGTGTCGCTTGAGCGACCAGACACAATAAATGAGATCGCTCGAGTACAGGAATCACCGCTCGAGCAAATAATATCAATTCCCAGAAGTTTTGCAAATAGAAGTCTACCGCTCGAGCTCAAGAAGGACCGCTCGAGCGCAAGAATGACGGCTTGAGCAAAGAATGCTACCTCACAGTACATTTGTAGACCTGCAAAAGTATTGAGAGTCTATAAAGACCGCTAGATCACAAGAAGTGTCACTCGGTCGAAGAAGCCAAAATCTAGGCAATAACAATTTTGAAACACAACCTACTAACCTGTTCCAAATACAACCAAGGCACTCCAATAACCAATCTCAATGAGGAATAAGGAGAAATAAGATATGAACAACCATATAAGATAATGAAACTCGGATGCAGAACATCAAATGGATCAGGTCGAAACCTGAATCGCTATAGTCGTCGCTGTCCTAACTATCATCACTGTCCTCCCTGTCTTTGTTATCCTCGCTGCCCATGTTGTCCCCACTTGAATCCATTTCACTCATGTTGTTATAGTCGAGAAATTCATTTTGCTGATTGTACATTTCATCATCTATATGAATATCAATTGTTGTGTTACTCGTGTCCATTTCTGTAATTTCAAAGTAACTAAAATGAAAATCCAATTTTCATCCATACCACAAAGAGGAAAAATTAATTTTACCATACAAAAGTATAGACTACTTCTTTGAATATGAAATACTTATGTCCTGATAAAAAAGGAAAATATGAATACCATCAAGTCACTAGTGTAAGATGACCAATATAGATTTTCACTTATTATATAAGTGACATTAATTATATATGAAAGTGGAGCGCTCACCTATTTTTCTATTTTCACTAGAAGTTTGCAACAGAGGCCATGTAAAACAAAATAAAAGTTGTGGAAATATGGAATCTTTTGGGTTGTGTTCAAAATGGAAGTTTGGAAATATGGAATCATTTTGGTTGGATGGATTTTGTTCAATTTGTCACCAGTTTTTGTAGTGCTCTTGTTGCCGTGATTTAACCATGTAATTCATATCGTGCTGCATATAATTTAATTTAACTTAGTTTTTCATAATTAGGAATTTGAATGAATTTTCTGGCTTCTTTTCTTCATGGGTTATTTCTGGCAGGGTTCCTACTATGGGAGGAAAGGCTCTAGACAGAGTACCTGCTGAGACAATGTAATTTACTCTGTATTGCGGATTTTCAATTCACTTATATTAACAGCATGTAAGGGAATATGCAATCTAACCAAATGACATACACATCAAGTAAAGATTGACAGATATGAAGCTATGGACAATTGGATTACACATACAACAAAGTTCTTGACAATATGCTAAAGAACTTATTGTTCATAGCACAACAACTAACAACACAATTTCATAACAATCCTAAACTTGATGAATAAGGTCCATACTATTCATAACACAACCCACACAAGTCTACAACCACCAAGTTCCTTATATATCCATAGTACACATAAGAAATACGGAAAAAAGAAGAAGAAATTGTTTAATATTTAGCCGCACACATTGACTTCCAGCAAACTGGATGCTAAACAAAACAAAATTGCATCCATTTTCCAAGTTAATTCCTAAGCTAACTTAAGAACCCAATGCATCTTTATATTGGAGGGCATCCTCATGAACATTCTTCTAGTTACTTTATCGCAGAAACTCTCACATGCCCTTACGTATTGGTCAGCATTGATTCCTTCCATTGTTGCCAAACAGTCCATACATGCATCGATGGAGTACTGTTTCTTGTCGGCGTGACTCGCTTCAGACATTTGTTTTGATGAATGTAAAATTCTTTTTTGTAAGATTCGTGGCAATCCATGTATCAATTGCCAAATCTAGGTGTGTACCTTTTTGCCCACCATTATTATCACTACTCCCACCTACATTCGGCTTATCATCTCCTTCAATTTCATCACTAACATAGAAAGAATCAATATTAGAATTGATACCAACACCAAAGAATGCAGTTTGGATATCCCTTTCTTCATCAGATGTTGAGGGTCCCAGGATTGAAGCACGGGCAAGTGCGACAGTGGCTTAGGAGTTTACAAAGAGGACATCTAACAAGTCAATGTTATCTAGTCCTTTTTTTTCCTAAAAACTTTAGCTTTGGGATATGCCTACAAAATTAAGACAACCAAAGATGTGGTGAAAAAGTAATTTGTATTTAACTAAGTGCACTACAAAATTTGTAGTCAACTCTAAGGTGGTGGTAGTTACCTTAACATATTGATCCCAAATGTCATCTGATGCCGTGACCGTTTTTCTCTGGTCATCCCATTCGAATCCCGTATGGTTCTTCAATTTCACAAAGGTATTGTAGGATTGCCTAATGCGATGGTACTTTTGCTTCAAACGGTTAACTGTGTACCTAACTTTAAACTGATTGTATAGCTCATCATCAATCCGACTCCAATGCCTTATAGTGAAAGAGTTTTTTCTAGTTAAGGAAAGGTCTTGCTTCACCTCTTCTACCATCATTTGTATGAAGGCCAACTCAGGGGTTGTTTGGGATGATCTAAATAAGTGCATTTTTTGACTTTTTACGAAAAAACATGAAATATGTGTTGGGTTTAAAGTGATGTGGTAGAGAGATGATGTGATTTAAATAAGATGATGTGACTTAAATAAGATATTGACTTTTTGGCTTTTTGACTTTTTTGTATTATACCAAACTAGGCCTCAATCTTGTTTGGCCACAACCTCAACTCTTGCGCATTATCTACGATACCCTCACTGTCCATCTATGCAATACACGCACCAATCCTTATATGATACCCCAAAAAGTGATGGGTTTAATTAAGTCATGACGTCTTAGTTTTTAAAAATACAAGTCTCAAAATTTGAAAAGAAATGTTAAATGATCAAATTATACATGAATGAAAACTGATCGAATTTGTAACGAGACAACATTTGATTGTAGACAAATTTCATATAGAATACAAGTGATTTTTGTATAGACTATAACAGTATTGCACATGTCAACTATAACCAGAGCATAACGTCTACCAGTTGTACAAAATTTAATTGACATGTCTAACATTTATACTTGTATTCCGTATGTGTTACTATGCAGGTATGGTACAAGGTATTATGACTAAAAAAAAAAATCAAGTCAAATGGCACAGTGAAGAATGCAATCCTCTTTTGGTAAACATTGCATATCTAACATTTATAACATTCAGCAGATGAACATACCTCAACGTCATTTTCACTACAAAAAGATGGAATGGAGTCCAGTGGTTCTCTTGTCTTCTGCTTGTTCTTCAAAACTTCTTTACGGAATCAAGGTCCTGGTAAATGAACTCTACAGTGGACTTTAGCATAAGTAGGAATGAAGTAATTAATGGTAAAGTAAGCAAAATTAGAGAACGACAAAGCATGTTGTTAAAATTCACACTGCCTTGTAGTGTAACCTTTTCTAGAGTTATGCTTTTTCTTTGAGGACATTCTTTAATTTTCAAAAATCATGAACTGCATAACACTGAAAGGTACACTTATTTTTAATATAATGCTTTACACTTTATTAGCATGAGTATATCATTAAAAACACAAAATGGACTTGTTATCATTAAAATCAATAGGAAATAGGGGTTTCCGTTTACCCATTGGATAAATCGGAGATGGCATGGCAAGCCAATAACTGATCCTAGTATAGTTGTATAAATAGAATTATTCAAGGACTTCAAATAAATATAAATTCACCAAGTTACACTACAATGTGGATGGAATTGAACAATGTTGAAAAAGAAATTGTACAAATTATTGCTCAGCATGATATCAGATGGCTTGTCAAGGGGGCCGCAACAGATAAGCACTATTCAAAGTATGAAACATCCACTACAGTTACTCAATATCTTTTAACTAACAGTAAAAAACAGAAGATCATAAATAAGTCCTGTAGGGATGTAAAGTACGTTGGTGCATTCCTCACATTAGGTTGTTGGCATATTTATTGGCATAGGTTATGGTGAATTTCAATGATCTTGCTGGGAAATCACAAGTATTAATGCCTACGTGCCTGTTTAAGACAAGAACTTCACATATTTGTTCTATTTCGTCATGTTCCCTATTACTAACCCAAACTCATCAAATGTAACTAGTAAGAAACTGTCAGAGCTCAAGTCCAAGAAAACAACCTTTGTGTGCCAGCAAACACCAGTGTCCTGTCATATTTGGTTTGCTTGCAATGGATGCCTCATATATACAAGGTATTTGGGCATTTTGAATTGACTTGTTATCACTAAAATCACAAGGGAAGAGGGGTTTCCGTTTACACATTGGATGAATCGGAGATGGCAAAGCAGAGAGTAACTGATCCTAGTATAGTTGTACAAATAGAATCATTCAACCAAGCTATTTCAAACACATTCCTAAAATATAAATCTAAAAAACAATCTCGAATGAATGAGTTACGTTGAATCCATAAATCCAATTGAAACCTTACTTTGTTTCTACTCTCTTTCTATTTTTCAAATCAAAAATAATTTATAAACTTCCCTATGATATCTGGCAATATGCCGATATCTACTTTACCTTCCATCAATGCATAGTATCCCCATTTAGGACATAATTAGAGGGCACTGCCCCCCATAAAGCTTCTATCAAGATCCATCACTTAAATAATGTCCTTAAAAAATTACTAAATCAATAACTTTATGGCTGCATCTATACCCCTACTCTCTCATAATCGCAAGTGGATCTCAGAATAAGAGAGACAAGAATGCAGGTACAACTATAATGCTCTTGGATTTAACATTCCCTTGCAACTAAATGTGATTTTACAATTGAAATCCGAACAATATCCTTCCATCATCTGCTCATTATCAGGAGCCAGATAGAAGCACTGAAACTAGACCAGAAAAAGATGTTCTAATAACAGTAGTGCAATTTTACCTCCTCCCGGGGACATTCCTGAATGACAGATATCTGCTTGTAAACTCCTCTTCTTTATTGAACCTGCCAAATGACAAGCCAGCCATCTTTACCAATGTACTGGGTGGCTTTGGTTTTCAAACTCTTCTTATAGTAGTTCCTCAGTTTCTCTTAGCTTCACTAATACACATTTTCTTGCTGAAATTTAACCAGTCTCATAAGCATTTCCAAGCCTTTTCTAACTACACAAAACTTTAATAAGAACCAATTTGAAAGTATAATGAGCAAACAAAATATGAAGGCATGCAATCTATACAATGACCTTCTTATTTACACAAAGTCTAAAAAAATAAAAAATAAAAAATAAAAAGAAAAAAGTGGCAGTGTTCACTAATGCAGTATGCATGTCCTTAAAAAGTAGAACTTCAAGTGAAAGGATGCAGTCAATGTTGAATCCTGTTCGTACGGCAAAGAATTTTCAAAAGTTCACCAATGCAGCATGCAATTAATGAAATGCATATCCACAAATCGGTTGCCCTGAATTTTTGTACATAACAAACACAAGTGATTCCACTGAAGAAAATTCCAAAGCACAATTAAGACACACATTTCAAGACAACATACATATATAACTGGTACATAATTGCCATATATACATACAGATTTGTATGTAGGAGAATTGAAAAATGTTAAGGACCATAACAATATAGCGTGTAATGAATTCAAACCCAAGATGAAATGAATTTAAATACAAATAATAGAACACAACTACAAGGATTCACAAAACTAACTCATTCCCTCTCGACTCTTCGTATAGCAAAGATCGAATCGACCACAAGAAATTAAGGGTTTCACTACATCAATAACGGCGAGAAGAATAAATAAATCTACGAAAATGGAGAGTTGGTTCTAAAATAATGACGAAGAATCAAAATGACAACCGCAAAATTGAAAGGAGAAATAAGGATTTGGTTCAGAAATGATGAAGTTAATTTTTGAAACAAAAACCAGAAAACCTGAGCTCAGGAAATCTGCATTTCGTATGAAGAATACTGAACTTAATTTGCGAAATGAAAACCACAAAATGGAAAGGTTTTGACTTTGATTTGGTTCGAAAATGATGAGCTTAATTTTAGAAATAAAAACCAACAAAATGTAAGCTCAGAAAATCTATTTTTGCTTTGAAAAATGCCGAACTTAATTACCGAAATTGAAACCACAAAACCGAAAGGGAAAACTGTGATTTGGTTCGAATATGATGAAGTTAATTTTCCAAATAAAAATTAGAAAATCTGAATTTCGTTCCAAAAATGTCGAACGTTACTTCTTGAAATCGAAACCATTCACCAGTAGCTCACAAACTTGCATTTGGTTTGAAAATGATGAAATTAATTTTCGAAATCAAAGCACAAAACATTAATTTGTATGCTGAAAGGGATTTTGAGATTAAACTAGGGATTTAGTTCAGAAATCAAACCACATAAGTTTTAGGTTTTTCGAAAAACATCATTTTCGAAATGAAAGTTTGATTTTGTTCGAAATGAAACGAGAAAACCTACATCTTGTTGGAGAACATTTGTTTTTTTACAAATTGATGATGAAGAATGAAAATCAAAATCCAAAGGGGAAATTAAGATGAAATGAAAAATTATGAAGACCAATCAAAATGTCTAACCTCTTTGTCGTCTAATCTTTGTCACCCGTAGCTCAAATCAGCCACACTTGAATAGCGTCTTGGTCACTGGCCTGAGTCATTGCTCCATTGTTGCCGACCTTGGTATAGCAACGAAAGCCAAGTCCTCAATTAGTTTGGTGAAGATAATAAAGAGAGCAATAAGCGGAGACTATTACGAGTAGAGTACTAGACTGTTCTGATGCCTATTTTTTCTTCACATCATGTGAAGAATAAGATCGAAAAAAGGATCCAGAGCATATCATTTTGAAAACTGTGTTTGGTTTTCTGAATAACCAAACAAGAACTCTAAAATTTTCAAAAACTGTGTTTGGAAAACAGGAACCAAACAGAGTGATTAACTAATTAAGACATGTCATTTCCAATTAAAAAGACAAAAAAAAAAAACACGTACCTTCTTCCTTTATCTTTCTTTCTCTCTCGTCTCCTTCTTTTCCTCCCTACAACTTCGATAACCATCATTTGCCGCAAACAAACCCTTCCAGCCAACACCTTTCCCATCTCCCGACCACCTATCTCACTCTACCTACCACAATCGTGTTACCCCTCATATACCCTCTAGCCACACATCACTCACCCTACCCACTACAATTTTATTGACCTTTCGACGGGTCTACTATCATCCACTATTGAAAGCCCTTATACTCCTTCACTTATTTTTCTTATCTACCACAAATTCGCGACCTCCTTGCCATTAAAACTCCCAATACTCTTCCACCACTAAATGCCTTACTTCATCCACCATATCTCTACCATTAAACCTCTTTCCACCATTAAAAAAAATAAAAAAATAAAAAAATCAAGACATAAGAGAGAAAACAAGATATTGAGAAAACCTCATATCATCTCCTTAAACAAAAACCAAATATAACAAAAATCAGATTGCAGAAACTAAAACATCCACTTTTTGTCACCATCATGTATGGAGATATTTGAAAGAAACGAGGTAAGGAATCTAGTTTGCAGAGATTGGGATGATGGAGAGGGTTGTGAGGCTCCGTTTGTTTTAGAGATAGAATGGAGTGATTAATAGTGAGGGAATTAAGTAAAATTATATTTGTTTTAATGATAGTTGTTAGTGTGAGAATTGTTAAATTATTTTTATATAAAATAATAAAATAAATAAAAAAATATTAAACATTAATGTTTTAAAAAAAATGCTTAATATGTAAAAAAAATTAAAAAAATAAAATAAAAATTTTTCAATAAAAATAAAATAAATAAAATAATGATTTTTACTTAACAAAAAATACAAAAAATTAAACATTAATGTTCAAAAAAAATACCCAATATGTAAAAAATAAAATAAAAAATAAATAAAAATAAAAAAATTTTAATCTGCCAAACTATTTTTCTAATACCAAGTCTTACAGGCCTATCCTAATCCCCTCCCTAAGGAGATTCTTGGAGGGGATTACGAATCCCTTCTCTATCTTTTAAAACAAATATGATATTAGTGAGTTGTACCTCACTATAAATTTCAATTCCCTCCTTATAACCCAAAATAAACGGGCGTTAAAGGGAGGGCAAAAGAGCCTATAGGAGATGACCAATAAAGGTGAGAGAGGCATTGGTTGTTGTAAATGAAAGGTGAGTGAGGGATCAACAATAGAAGAGGTAAGAGAGCAGCTGGCGACAATAGAAAAGGTAAGGTAGTGATTGCAAATCGATTAAGATTTCAGGGAGAGGGCCAGCTAGGATCCAAGGAAAGAGAAGAGGTTGGAGAAGACATATGAGAGATTTTTCCAGAAGAGGGTGATTTCCCATCTTATTGCAATTGTTTACAATTTTGAAGTTAAAAAATAAAAGAAAAAATTACACTAAATAATGAAAAATACATGAGAACTTGGGGGGAAACGATTATAAATTAATGGGGAATGAATTTTAATTATGAGTGAAAATAATATAATTCAGTGGGTTTGGTTTCAATTTTCTAAATTCAACTTTCTAGAAATTGAGTTTTTTTTTTTTTGTTTTGTTTTTCGTGTTCTTTCATTTTTAGTAAATTTTTTTTAAATTTTAAACAATTTTTTTTATTTATTATTTAGATAAATCTAAATAGTAAAATATTTGTGAAAAATATTTTTAAAAATTAATAAATATACAAAAATATGAAAAATGTACTGAATTTTTTTTTATTTTTGGTATTTAGTAAATTTTTTAAAGATTTCTTTTCACAAATATTATACTTTATAAGTATATTTATATTCGATGTATCTAAAAATTAAAAAATCCTTAAAATATTAAAAAAATAGTAAAAACAAAAAAAAACAAAAAAAAACAAAATAATATTTTAAAAAGTGAATCCTAAAAATCCAAACCAAACAAACTGAATAAAATTTCTCACCATTTTATTTACAATGATATAAAATGATAGGTAATATATTTTTTGATTTGTCACATATTGTGTGAGATTTTATTTTCTTATCACATCATTAAAGATATATTTAGATGTCTCAAATTTTACATTCCAATAGATGCCAAAAAAAATTATATAATTATAATTATTAATATTTATAATTAGTTTTTTAAAACTCAACTAATGTATTTATTTTTACGTCTATTGTTTTATAAATTCATGATATTTTTAGATGTGATATTCATTTTAAAAAAAAAAATCTACTTTTTTTAATTTTTATTCATATTAACAAAATAGTGAAAATTCTTTCTTTTTTTGTGTGTGTTTGTTTGTTTCTTTTTTTTCTTTAATCAATTAAAGTGAGACATCATAATTATCTATTTGTTTTTTGGAAAATATTTGGGACCCATTGGGGGATGACTCCACACTCTCAAAGTAATATTGACCCTCCATATATGTGGGGTTCATTTATATATGTGTGGGATCCACACATCATGAGTAATTCAGATTTATAGGAACTTGTTAGCGTTGATAAGGGTCTCAATCATTACTTTTATTTTTTTATTACAAAAATTTTAAAAATTTTAAAAATTCTATTAAAAATTTTATCAAAAGTCTCATGACTCACATGAGACCTATATTATAAAGATTCTACACCATAAAAGACATTTAATAAAAATTTTAATAAGATTTTTGACATTTCTAATATTATTTCTTTATTTATGTTTATCACAATTCTCTAATTTCTCTCGCCCACTTTATCAGAACCAACTGTTCGTCTGGACTACTTATATCTGCGCTCTCAACTCTTCTATTTCCTGAGTTTCGCAGACAAACTCAGCCGCAGCAGCAGCTTTGGGAGAACTCTGGCGGCGGCGACGGTGGTTCCGGCGGCGAAATCTTTCTAACACGATTCGATCTTAAGTATACTCAGTCGTCTCCTTCGGTGTTCCTGCAGCTAAAATGCGATCCAAGGACAGAATCGCCTACTTCTATGACGGTTCGGTTCTCTTGATTTCGATTCACCATTTCAATTTTCGTCATATTCGAGTGTATCCACACACATACTTTTCTTATATTTGGGTTTTGATTTCGAGTCTCTTGACTTTCCACTCTACTTCCCGGAAAATCACAATTACAATCAGAAACCCTAGCTTTCGTGTATATGTATGATTTGGATTTTAATTTTTATGGGGAGTATGACTATGGAGATGAGTGTTATTGGCAGGGGACGTTGGAAGTGTGTACTTTGGGCCGAACCATCCGATGAAGCCGCATCGGCTTTGTATGACTCACCATCTTGTCCTCTCCTATGACCTCCACAAGAAGATGGAAATTTATGTCAGTATTGTGTTATTTTTGGAAATTCATTATTGTTGCATATTCAATTTTGGTTGTTTGTATAAATTGGTAACTTGGGTTGTTATTGCTGTACGACACAGAGGCCTCATAAAGCATATCCAGTCGAGCTTGCGCAGTTTCATTCAGCTGATTATGTTGAGTTCTTGCACCGGATTACCCCTGACACTCAACACTTGTTCTCGAATGAATTGGCAAGATGTATGAGTTAGTTTGTAGATCCTGCTTGTTTTTATGTGTGCCAAACTCTTTCATTTACTGTTTTTTTAAGCATATTATGAGAATTTTTATAAGGGTTTGCCACCTAGTTGTGTGAAAGAATGACTGTCTTAGTTATTTTGCATCAAGGTATGTACTTTAAGAACTTGGTGAAGTTCAGGTGTAAATGGAAGTTGACTGAGTGGATAACTTGTGGCTAATCTTTCGTAACAAATTACTGGTGTGGAAATTATTAAATTGGGGGTGTGATTACCATACCTGAGTGACTGACTGCAATAATTATTCGCTATGATTCTGCTGATAATTTTTAGTTCTTTCATCACTGCTTCTGAATTAATGTGCTATTAATTGGGTGGATCGGACCAAGTGATGAGTTTGGCACTATGTTGGTTTAATATTCAGTCTTTATTGACTATCAAATAATGTCAAGTTTTGTTTGTCCACCTCACCTTTTCAGATAATCTTGGAGAAGATTGCCCTGTCTTTGAAAACCTGTTCGAGTTCTGTCAAATTTACGCTGGTGGAACTATAGGTAAAGTATGCTCAAATAGTATTGTAATTTAAACTTGAGTGGCATTAAGTTTACCTTGACTAGGGATTGAAGTTTTTTGGCAGATGCTGCACGCAGATTGAACAATCGGCTTTGTGACATTGCCATAAATTGGGCTGGTGGACTACATCATGCCAAGAAGTGCGAGGCATCTGGTTTTTGTTACATCAATGACTTGGTTTTGGGGATTTTGGAGCTTCTAAAATATCATCCACGCGTTCTATACATTGATATAGATGTGCATCATGGTGATGGTGTTGAAGAAGCGTTCTATTTTACAGACAGGTAATGACAACTCCCTCTCTCTCTCTCTCTCTCTCTCACACACACACACACACACACACACAATGAGTGTGAATGTGTTCTTGAAGTGGGAGGGGGTTGAATAGGGCAACCTAAATTTTTAGGCATTATTTCAATCTTTCTTCCTAACTTGCCTTTATTGTCTTGCATTGAGCCTATTTCAACTTTTTATGTGCTGCTGTTGAATTTGATATGCAACTTTTTCACTCACAAGTTAAGTGTTTGGTTGGGTAGAACAATTTGTTTTCTTCGATTTATTTCCCCAACCCAAGCTATGCAAAATTTTAAATTTATTATGTCTTCAATTCAAATTATAGACCAATTAGTGCTTAATCATCACACTTGTTCTCAATCATAATATTTTACTTTTCATATTAGAGCTATGTTACATGGATTTGGATTCGAGTATTCTATGCAGCTGCGTGTCCAAGCATCGTTTTTCCTGAACTTAAATTTTATGATATTGGGATATACATCTAAAAGTTGGGTATAAGTATGGGAACTTGTTTCAATCACTTATATATATTGCATATTGTATAATATTATTGGATAACATGTAAATTATTTAGAATTGTATTTCAAATTAAATGAGATTTAGAGAAATATGGAATTTATATCTCCCATTTCTTGCAAGAAGCTACAAATGTTTATTTACTTGCAAATGTGAGTGTCTTCTTTTTCAAACATTATATAAAAGTAGAGGATTCAAATGTGTAAAGTTATTGAACACATATCCCACGCTCTTACCCTTAGTATATTTGGTAGGCATGAATACCCTAGGAAAGTAAAAGAGTCCATGTAACATAGCATAAGAGTACCACCGATGCATCATGCACTTAAAGTTCACAAACATTCATGGCAAATTTATGCATGAATCATGTTCATCTCAATAACATGGAAAGATATAAAACAATGTAAAACTCATGAAGTTTATAGATGACCACAAGATTTTATAGTGGTTTGGTTATTTGCCTACATCCACTCCAAACGTACCTTACCTGCATTATTCCATCCTAAAACTGTTTCACATACAACAATACAATGCGTTTAAACCCGCCCAAAATCACAAACGTCCAAATCTCAAACTTAACACTTCACTAAATTAAAACCCATGAAATAAACTTCGAGAAGGAAACCGATTCCCACAAGCCCACATGCCTTTATGTGAGACAAACTATAGTGTGTGATATAATTATTGTACGAACTACACTAAGGGGATGAGGTTTATATCTTTCACAAGCACAAGAATTTCGAGACTTCTTGGAGCAATCTCTTCCACAACTTGTGTTGAAGGTTGAAAATTATTCTCACTCTCCATTATCCAATAATAGAATAACACTCAAAAAGTGTTTGTGAGGGTACAAGAGAGATATAAACTCTCCAGGTGTCTTCCTTTCATGAAAAAACTCCAATTGAAAATGTTGGGGTATGTATAGACATGGTCCCTATAGTTGTTTTTTCAAACTGAGCCTAGTTTAGCTGGCCAAACATTGTTCTCCGGTTTGGTCAGATCAACCTTTGATTGCTGGAAATCCAGTATTAGATTCCACTTTGGTCAGCCAACGTGTAGTTTGGCTGACCCAACTCGTGGGTATGACAAACCAGCTATGGACCTACCTTCTTCAACCAACTTATATGGTTTAGTTGCCAGTTGACCAGACCAAGCTAATCGTATGGGTTGTGGTGCCCATTCTTCGTGGTCTTTTTGGCCCTCGTCTTGTCCAAAGCTTTCTCCATGCCGATGAAGCTCTCCCATAGCACTTCTTCCATGCCAAGAAGTTTACTTATAGCACTTCAAGCTTTCAAGGTTTTGTAGGTAGTCCAATGTGCTTCCAACAGTCGTGGTTAAAGTTCCTACCTCAGGTTGTGCACAAACAATCATAGAACTGCCAATCTATGCTAGTCCTAGCACTAACAATGTGTATTTGTATGATTATCAAGCTGTTCAGGGATGCGGTGGTAATGGTGTTGGAAACTTGTAGGTAGTCCAATGTGCTTCCAAAGGTCCTAGTTAAAGTTCCTACCTCAGGTTGTACATAAACAATCATGGAATTGCCAATCTATGCTAGTCCTAGCACTAACAATGTGTGGGTGTATGATTATAAAGTTGTTCAGGGTGGACTGGTAATGGTGTTGGAAAACCAAACCAAACCAAACCAAGCCTTAAGACCCATCAAATGGGGGTCGGCTACAAGAATCTTTCTCCTCTACCCGACTCGTGTAGGAAACTTTGGACTTAATAAAATCTGACAAAAATGAGAACATCCCCTAACTTGCTATAATCTGTGTTACATGGACTCGGCATTTTGGGCAAAGTACTTGTGTTGACACGACACGACACGACACGGGTGCGGATATGGGATCTTTGTCAGATTCGCGTGTTCTCTCTCGGACACGGCTCTTTACAGACAACAAAAGAGATGAAAGAGGGAGTGAAAGAGAGAACCTGGTCACCTGTTGAAATGGGGAAGACATCGGTCGCTGCTTCGACATGCTCGATGCTCGATCTCGATCTCTTGCTCGATCTCGATCTCCTGCTCTATCTTCTCTCTCGTCTCTCGATCTCGATCTCCCTTCTCTCTTTCTCGGTCGCCGACTTCTTTCTTCTCTTCTTTGTTCTCTCGATCTCCCTCTATTAGTATATAATATTAGTAGATAATATAATATATTAGTAGATAATAATATAATAATATATTGGTATATAATAATAATAATATATTTATTAGTATATAATATTAGTAGATAATATAAATCTCATAATATAATAATATAATATATAATATTATTTTTTTTTTATTCAAATATAATATTATTCATCCATTATTCATATTACATTTATATTAACATATAGTATAAATTACATTTATATAATAATATATAATATTATTCATCCAAAAAAATTATATAATACAATATATCATAAATAATATAATTTTTATGTCTAAAATAAAAATAACTTATTTTATCATATATGATATAATCTATTTTATATCTAAAATAATTTTTATTTGTTATTTATATAATATAACTCATCTTCATATAATAAATATATTTTTTTAAAACAAACTATTTAACGTGTCCCTGTACCCGTATCCAAATTTGGATACATATCCACGCATCCTTAATTTTTAATTTTGAAGTATCCGACCCTTAGATACGCACCCGACACCCGTACCCGCGTCCGTGTAACTTAGGCTATAATTGGATAAAAGATTTGACTACTTTTTTTTTTTTTGATAAATTAAAAGATCTGACTACTTAAAAAATGAAGATGCGTCATTGTGGTATTGTTATTTGATTGAGTTGATCTAAGCAATTAAAAACTGCAATTCTTGTGCTATACAATGTGTGCATGATTGCATCTTCAACCTTGAGACTATTAGCTAAAATTTGTAGCTTACAATTTGCCAGCTGATCCTTGTCATGATCACTTCTAATGGTAAATATTTTGTTTACACAGCAGAACTATTGTGTCCTTTAAAAAAATAATACCTCCAAACATGGCATTATTTGTGAGTTAATCTAGATGGTTTAGTTGATAGGTGACAGAGATATTTATTTTGATGATACTCCCAAGTTCCAACCATTATGAGCAGAGATTGTTGTTTGATCCATTAAAAATATATAAGATAAATTTCTCATTTGGTTTGTAGGATTGTTCTCTGTGTGATTTAATTTTGCCTTTTTCTTTAGAATCTCTCTCTGTAAAAGGGAATTTTTGAAGTGATTCACATGAAATTGACTTCTAAAATAAATTGCCATGTCCTTCTTCAGAATTCAATGATTTTGGTGAATTTCAAAATTACAGGGTGATGACTGTTAGTTTTCACAAGTATGGAGATTTATTCTTTCCTGGAACAGGTGATGTTAAGGTACTTTTCTTTTCTCCTGTTTTCATATGTTATTTCTTAGCAGTGACAGTGACAATTGTTTATTTATCATGAGTTAAACTTGTATGCCTATGATGAGAATCTTTGTAAGGGAATTAGGAAAGGGTGAGAGGATTTCTCCCCGTCAAATGACACCTTTTACCAACCTATTATACCAAATATGTTTCTTCTCCTTATCAATGTTATATTGGTATTACAAAAGTGACTTAATTTAGGAAACTGGGGTCCTAAAGGTTTTCAGTTTATTAGATATTTTCTGTTATTTAAAAGGTTTCTACAATCTATTGTAACTTTTATTGCGTATCCTGATTGAAGCATGGTATGCTGGAAATGTAGCTTTTGTGCTCGCCATGTAATACTATTGTTGAATCATGAACACTTATTCTCCCTCTCAAAGCGACCGATTATTCCAGATGTTTTTCTTCTCCCAAATAATGTTGAATTGTTATTACAAGAGTGTCTTAATCTAGGATACTGGGTCCTAAAGGTATTCAGTTAATTAGAACTTTTGTTATTTAAAATGTGTTTACTATCTATTGTTAAGTTCTACTTCCAGTCAAAATCGGGAGTGCTATTCATGCAATGTTTTTCTGAAGGAAATAGGACAAAGAGAAGGAAAATTTTATGCCATAAATGTCCCACTCAAGGATGGGATAGATGACACCAGCTTTACTCGGCTTTTTAAAGCAGTAAGTCATTACTAAACACAAATTCAGGACTGCAATCTCTTTATTTTGTTTATGGTTTGATAGCATCAAGGGTAAACTTTTCTGCTCGCTGTCCGTTGTGCAGATCATTGCCAAGGTTGTGGAAACATATTTGCCAGGAGTGATAGTTCTCCAGTGTGGGGCAGATTCACTTGCCGGGGACCGCTTGGGGTGCTTTAACCTCTCCATTGATGGTGCTAGTCTACCTGTAATTGAAACAATTTTTTTGCTTTGAACTTCTTAATAATTTGCAAATTACAGTGCATTCTCTTGCTTATTCTTTTGTGAGGATGTTGATAAGGTGTTTAGTTAATGTGCAGTGGCTGTGATGTTTTATAGTGTTATTATTGAATTTATTGTGATGATTTTTGCAGGACATGCTGAATGTGTGAAGTTTGTCAAGAAATTCAATTTGCCCTTACTGGTACGGGCATGATTTGAACTATTCTGCTTGGGTTTCAGTATTTGTGCCATATGTTATACATAATTGAGATATATTTATATCTGCAGGTAACGGGAGGTGGGGGATACACGAAGGAGAATGTTGCTAGATGCTGGACTTTTGAAACCGGAGTTCTTCTGGATTCAGAACTCCCCAATGGTATGCTAGCATTGTCTCTTTGTATTTTGTTGCTTGTATTCTATAATATCATGATATGCAGCAATGCAATTTGAGTTCTATTAGTCAAGGTCTAAAGTATTTTGAGATGTTGAGCTTTTTGGAAAAAATGTGTAATTTGTATTCATGCAAAACTGTCCAGGTTAGTGTGTTTCTTTTTCTTTCATATGCAACACTGATGATGCTTTGACTGAGGAGAATTGTACTTTTCTCCATTTTGTACATAACTCACATGTACTTGGGTTGCTCCCTGTATTTTGGTGTCAAAAAGAAGAAAAAATAAAATAATGGAAATTTGTGTATTTCATTTGAATTCCTACGTACTTGTTGTTTTTGTAGCTATTTGAGCTTTGGTGGTATATTTATTTATTTTTCAAAAACTTAAAAAGAAACTCTGAAATTGGTTATTGTTTTTTTCTCTTCCCTTATTATTTCATTAATTTGAATATCTTGTCTTTGGTTAAATAGCCCTGTTTGGTAGAGCTGTGGGAAAGTGCTTATAACTTATGCCTAAACAGCTTATAACTTATAACTATGAACATAAGCTGATTTCTGACTTATTCTTAAAGCATCTCCTGCCCCACTCAAAGAATAAGCTGATTTCTGACTTCCAAAAAGCTATAAGTTATAAGTTATAAGCTAAACCAAACACATCAAAATAGCTTAAATTAAGCTGAAAGCTGAAATAAGCTGATTATAATTTCTGCCAAACAGGCACAATATATGGGAGTTTGAAAAGTATGCTCGCATATATTCAAATATTAGAATTAGAGAATAATATGGTAGTGCATTAGGTGAACTGGCAGTTATTTCATATAATTAGTTAACACTAATTAATTCTATATCCAATTGAGCCCATATGGGTTCTTAGAAATGCAATTTTTGCATTTCAGTTCAGAATCAGCAGCATTTGTGGGAGACATTCAACAGCAAACTAGGATATATTAACAGATTATCAGATTTTGTGTCCTTTGATGGCTAATGCTGTGTGATCAAGATCACAACAAATGGGGGCTGTTTGGAAAAGTTGAAAAGTGGTTTTATGTTACCAAGCTTGAACTCACTATAGCTCTACAGTTTCGAAAAAGTATAAAAATTAAATTTGAAATCTTTCCCAAAATGTTGAGCCTATTACATACTTAAAGCCAGAATATGAATTGCTGGCACCTGCCAAACACTTTCAGATTGCGGTATTTCTTGGCTAAACCAATTAAGAACTTCCCAAAAATCTGTTATGATCTGCTGTTAATCTTCTTTTGGATATCTTTATTTTTTTTATTTATGAGGTTTATAAGGATTAACGTTTCAAATGCCAATTGTCTGCTGTGCATGTGATAGACATCATCTTTATCAATAAACAGTAGTGGGTTATAGAGATACAAGATCCATTGACATGGTCATTCGTTTTAAAACTTATTTATTGCTACAAAATCTTCTTTTTAAGGTTTTGGCCTCTTCTCTTCTGTTCCTAGAACTTCTATAGTATGACTCTGTTTTTGTAAAGAATTCTTATTTCAGCTTTTATAGAAGGGGTCTGTGATGTGAATGACTTTGTAATTATTGAAAATATGGTTCATTAAGTTCTTCATGTGACTTTATATGGCAGTTTGAAAATTTTCTTGCAGAGATCCCAGAGAATGAGTATGTCAAATATTTTGCCCCAGATTTTTCGTTGAGGATTCCTAATGGGCACATAGTATGTACTATTTTCTTTTCTTTTGTTTCTAATTCCATTGCCCCTGATGCATCAAAATCTATGTTGTACCAATTTTTCACCAAATACTATATACTGATATATATTTCGTCTTTGTTTTGATATTTTTATTTTGTTGATTGTGCAGGAGAACTTAAATAGCAAGTCATATCTTAGTATGATTAAAACGCAGGTGTTGGAGAATCTTCGTTGCATTCAACATGCTCCGAGTGTGCAATTGCAAGAGGTAAATAGCATAAGTTTGCAAACAACAAGCCAGCGAGAAATGCTCCAAAACCACTTCAAAAACCGTTCATACAGCTTGTTGGTGCATTTCATCTTAAAAAGCTCTTATCTAAATCATCTGATATAAAGGGTTATTTAAATGAATCTTCAATTGAAAGTAAAAGTTGCCAAGTGTTGAATTTCATTACTTTCCGATCCAGTGATGGATCTGCAGCTTGTGGAAAGTCCAATCTCCTCATCCACCTGAATATCTGTAATAATTTCTAATTTGATTCCATTATGCCCCCTAGTTCAATAGTCTTCATGAAATTCATGCACTTCTTTCATGTTCAGCTTCATATTCTACCTTCTTCATTATTTCATTTGTTTTAATGTATATCCACCATTAGATATCTTTGACGTCAGCATGGCATCACTGTTCAAACCTAGAGCCAGACGGATAAGCCAGTGAACTGTGAGCTATAGTGCCTTTCCAAGTTGATGAACGTTCTGGTTTTTAAACTTCGGTTATAGCTTTAATCTGAATGGTATGATACTTGTATTGAAGAAACTTAAAATGTGCATGAAATATAGGCCTCATTTGGGAAGTGGCTATTTTAGTTTTTGGCTATTTTAAGTAGGCTAAAATTTTTGTGTTTGGGAAGATGATTGGATTTTTTTGTGGTTGGATGTGATGTTTGTGAGAGAAAAAGTGAAATGATTATGGGTTTGATGTGATATTTTGTCTTATTAACTATTTTAACCTATTTTGTCTTTTTGTGATTTTTAGCCTAAATTTGGCTTTTGTTTTTCTTCCCAAACGACCCCATAAGCTAAATATTTTTGACCTGGCCCATACCAAATTTGTCTTATGTTTGTCAAATAGATTCATAATATTAGTGGACTGAAAAACAATGTTTCATATGTTGCAGGTTCCACCGGACTTCTATATTCCTGATTTTGATGAAGATGAGCAGAATCCAGATGAACGTGTCGATCGTAAGTTGGAACTTCAACAATTACACTACACACCTCTGGGCATACTTGTTTGCATGTGCATTTTCATTTAGTTGCATCCAGCATACAATGCTTAATCTTAATTGAACTTTTTTTTTTTTTTTTTTTTGGGTTTAGAACACACACAAGACAAGCAAATCCAGAGAGATGATGAATATTATGAAGGCGACAATGACAACGATCATAATATGGATGATGTGTAATGTTTAACCCGGGAGAGACTTTGTTTCGGTGATCGGGAGTATTAGATTTTGACTCACATGGGATTTTTTAGTGTGGGATACATAAGTAATATTCCAATTGATGGACATACATTAGCATTAGAAATACTTATATGTTGTTCATATTGTATTTAGTTTTCTTCTCTATGCTTTAATTCTGATTGATGTCAAAGTATCATTGACTTTTTAACTGAAGATTGAGAATTTACAACCAAAAGAGTGGGCAATGATGGCTGTTATATTTTGAACTAGTTGATGAGTGACCAAATTTATCTAATGACAAACCTATGGACAGACTGTTGTAGTTTATTCCAAAATGTAAATTGAAAGCTATCGGCATCTTTATTCTAAATTCAAGATGGTTAACTTTTCAGAACCTACTTAAATGTTCCTCAATTTTTGAAAATGTCCTCGACTATCTTTCTTTTCATTTCTTCGCTTTTCTTTCTCTAGAACCACTGCACTACCCCCTGACCTTTTCTCGCCCTCGTCCACGACTCAAAACCCTATTCCCATCGCTCCCTCACTCTTCCCTGCTCTCTTCTTCTGTTCCAGCCCCTTTCCACTTCACCTAATAACCTAGTTGATCCAAACCCCAAAACCTTTAGAACCACCCAAATCTGAACTACCGAAACTGTACAAAACCCCTCCAGCTTTTAACGCGTTTTTCTTGATCTCTTGAGCTATAAGTGGACCTTTTGAGATATGCTTGAGGGTTTTTTTTCCCTCCTTCGAGGACTATAAATCATACTATATTACTTAAAATTTAATTACTTCATTTGTCAGTTCATGTATTGGTTGAATTACATATTTTCCTACCTTATTAATACAAAAATAGTCCAAACACTTTGCATAATATATAATATCATTAATAATAGTAGCAATCTGCCAATCTACCTCAATTCCCTTATTTTGGAGCATTCTCCATAATTTGGCAATCTGTTTGAACTGTTACACATTTCGTCCCATTGTTCACCGCCCATCTAATAGCTTCCAAACATGTTGTCGCTTCAACTGCCAATGGAGTTTGGAGTAGATGCATCGCTAGTGCTTTTTGATTGTTTGTTTGATTCTTGTTATCCAAACAAATCCACACTATTCCCGCCCTTTGATTAGATGATTTCCATGATCCATCAATGTCCCTGATTCCACCTCATTCCTAGGCCCCTGAGAATTCTGCAAAACACACAAATTAGATTGTTTATCCTCTATTGCAAACACATTATCAGTGTTTATAGATGATCCATGACGTGCAATATTAATAACCAAAACTGATAATGTATTTGCTTCCTCTATTGTGCTTGAAAGCTCTGATTGAATACAACACTATTCCTTTGCAACCATATGGCCCAGAGAATGGCTACTGAGTGAATGATAATTTCTTCATCCTTTACTTGTTCAACCAACTCCTTAAACCACTGAAAGAAAGACACCGGTGAGCCAATACTAAAATCAAGCCCCAACGTAGACCCTCTCCACACCCTTTGCTCCCAATGACAATCAAAAAACACATGTTCTAAATAGAAAAAAAAAAAATAAAAAATTAGTAAAACATTCATCTTCAACATTGTGTAGTAGAAGAAATCCAAAATTTTATTTTTATTAGGTAAGGTTCCTTGATGAAATTTCTCTATGATTATACTAGAGAAATTTTGAAATTTCTCTATAAAATTAGAGAAATTTTTATATGACAAGGTTGAAATTTCTTTGAGTTGGGCGTTCTTTAAGTCGAATTTTCTTTATGAAAATGTTATGAGACCTTAATTATTATGAAAATATTATGTCTTTTATTTATAGAATCTTAAAAAAAAAATTCTTCTTTTAAATAATATTTAGTGCTTGTTTACATAAAATAATAATAATAGTAACAATAATAAAAAGAAATGGCCACTACTAGAAAATGTACCAAGTCGTCATTATGATAAAGCGGCTCAAAAAGAAAGAGTGATACGATTATTACCCCATAAATTATTTTAAATTTTTTAATTTTTAATTTTTTTATTACAATAATAACTTCAAATAAAATTATTAAAAAGGATATCATTAATTTTGGGAGACCCCATCTCACAATTAAACTTACACACCCACTACATTATGAATTAGGGTTTATGAGATCACCCATCTCTATCACCCTCCATCCATCTTTCCCAATCCCACCTTCAAAACCTACTCACCCTCAAAACCTTGAAAATCCTTTAGCGACAATATTCTGACGGTAACAGTGGCAACTATTTGACTGCCTATACTTCTCCGACAATGACAATAAGCGAAAGTATGTCTTGAAACTACAACTCCATAAGACGAGGGGAGTATATCAATAAAAGCTTAGAAGAGATTCATAACTTTGAAATTATTCTTAGCTCAGAGGAGATTAGCCTTATAAAGGTAAATTTCTTGAAAAAAATGGCAAAAATAATAAAATATGTTCGTTTCGAGACTGAACTCCCGAACATATGACCGAAATTCGGGAACATAGGCTCAAATATTGTTTATTTGTTCGGGAAGGCATTTCCTGAACAAATAAGTAATGTTCAGGAATGCAAGTCCGAACATGAAAATTTCTTAACACATTGAACGGTTAAAATTGTTAACGCTTGCAGAAGTTTTCATTTTTTCAAGCTCGGGAATACAGGCCCAAACATTACTTATTTGTTCGGGAATTCCCGAACAAATAAGTAATGTTTGGGAATGCAGGTCCGAACATGAAAATTTCTTAACATATTGAACGATCAAAATTGTTAATACTTGCAGAAGTTTTTATTTTTTCAAGTTCAGGAATACAGGCCCGAACATGAAAATTTCTTAACACATTTAATAGTCAAAACTTTTAATACTTGCAGAAGTTATCAGAAGTAATCCAAATCTATTATCAGGTTCAAAAGTTATTCATTCATTGCGTAACTTTGCTAATATTGTTGCGTAACTCTCTATTAAACTCACAATTTTATAATATTTACCAACAAAACCAACCAAACCAATTATTATAATTTTTTTCCTACAAGAGAATAAATTATTACGAGAAAACTAAGAAATTATGTGTGCATATGCACATATATATATAGAGAGAGCATACTAACTGTGATAATGGTGGATGAGGAAGTAGAGACAGTAATCACATTAGCTCTTCTTCTTTTTGATGGATTTTGTTAGGTTTTTTGGAAGAGAGGTTTTTTTGGGGCGTGGGGAGTGCATTTAATGAGTGTAATGTTTTCACAAGGATAATTTTGGTATTATTATTTGGGAGAGAAGAAATTTTGAGGGTTTCAAAATTTATAAGTGAAACCTAAAGAAATGAGGGGTCTAAAATAATTCATAGAATACTAATAGCATCACTCAAAAGAAAATGACTTCTCTAATGTTCAAATCATAAGTGAATTGAACAATCTATTTGACTAAAAGTATCAACAACACGAAGAGGTGTGAATTCTACGTGCCCTCCCAAACCCATCACAATATTACACCAATGTTTGCTTAATGGAAACAATTTACTAATAACATTCAAGGTTCATTTGGCATTGGCTAATATAGTCAAATTTTTTGTGTTGGGATTTTTTTAGCTTGTTTTTTTCAGCCTCGTTTGATTTTTGTTTTGGGGTTTTTTTGAATTTTGTGAGAGAAAAAATGTAAAATTTATGGGTAAAAAATAATATTTTGTCTTATTAATTTTTGTAATCAATTTTATCTTTTTGTAATTATTTAGCCCAAAAAAAAGCCAAATTGGGGCTTAGTAAATTTCATTTCGAGCTGCAAAGGGTAGATATTGAATTATAGAGGGTGCTCAAAAAGAAAAAATTGGAGCGTGGGTCCTAACTAATTAAGTGAAAACTCTAGTAGCTTCTAGAATTGAAGTTATAGAACAGTCAAAGGAGAATATGTCCGTTGAAGGAGAAACTGGATCCCACGAGAGATCGGCTGAAGAAACTGATCATCTCAACCGAAGCACGAAGAAAATCAAGGGTTCGACGGAGATAGATGATGATAATATGAGGGAAAACACTGTAGGTGTAGACACCCCATTTTTTACCGCCCTTAAGATTTGGGCACTACTGATGGTTTACTTGGTGGAGAAATGTGTGCAAGGTAAAAGTTCAGTTTCTTCAGCAAGGAGAGAGACAAATCTCAACTTCATACCCCTTTTGGACCAAAACAATCTTGATCAAAAGATTTTAGATCTTAAAACCCTCTCTTTCAAGATGTTTTGAAAATAAAGTTCCTACGATGTTTCGACGCTCGCATTTCGTTAAATGTTGCACTTTTCGGTAAACCGAGCAAGGACAAAGTGGAAATGAATGAAAGAGAGATGAAATTTTTGAAAAATCTTTCAAAACACTTTGTTTAGGGGTTTGGAGTTGAAGAAAAGAGAAAATGAGAGAAGAAAACTAGTTTGGGAGTAGTTCGGCATGAATCCGGGTAGGACCAAAACTATGCGGCTTCACCAAAACAGGAATAACTTTTTGTACAGTTGGAATTTTGATGCGAGACTGGTGCCATTGGAAATCTTACTTCCAGGGCTTCAATTTAGATACAAGAATGACCTGAAAAGGAGTCCAGATGAAGGAGTTATGCCCATTTGAAGTTGGACCTGGAGAGCAGAATTTTCCTACCGACCAGAAAAAGTAGCTGGCTGACCAGAAAAGTGGCTGGCAGGTCCCAAACTCAGATTTTTTGAAGATATTTTCTCTCAAGCTGTTCTCCACAACCTCCAGCTGTCCCAAAAACAGATATTTCGAACAAACTCTTGCTTTTTGCTATATATGAGCCATATCTCCCATTTTGCAAAAAAAGACTTCTTGGACAAGCTTGAGAGCTTCTCCCACTAAACTCCCTCTCTCTCTACAAAATTTCCAGAGCAAGATCTCTGCCTCTCTCTCTAGAGCCTCTCTCTCTTGCTCCTTTTGTGCATAGAAATGTATAGAAATAGAGATATATAACTAGTTTGCCAAGGCATCCTTCATCAAAGTTGCATATCATTGGGCTGAGGTCCCTTGGAGCTCATTTTTGGACTGTTAAAAGGTCATTTGAGCCAGCAAAGAGGCCATTTTGCTGTTGTGCTACAAGGGTAAGCACATCTCCTCTTTTGTACTTGTTTTGCACACTTGCTTCACCACCCTTTTTCCCTTGTTTTGAGGCTGTTTTTGGGTTAGTGTTGAACTACAAAAACCTCTATTTTTCAGTCCTAAAAATGGTGGTTTAAGCCTTGTTTGGCTAGGGGGTTGTCTCTCCCTTTTGTTCTTTAGCTTGTATAGCTTTT